TTTATTGACTGAGCCACTTGATGGAAGTAGAGAAATGAAATTCTTATATTTAGTTCTTGAAACCCTCTGCACCACTTTTCTTCCCTTTTCTCATGTCTCAACTCCTTCCCAGACACTGCACCCCCTCCTACTTCTCTCCCCCAGGCCAGAATCCTCTCCTGCACCCATACCCCCTTCTGCACCATGTGCCCCAAATTATAACCCCCTCCTTTACCCAAACCCCCACTCCACACCCGCTCTTACCTTCCAGTCTTCTGTTCCAAGCTCCCTTCTACACCAGTCTAGACCCCATGCCCCCTCCAGATTATAAAGTGACACTTTATAATCTGTTTGTCTATGAGATTAAAACTAATTAGAAATAAAATGGAAGATTTCTTCATATATTACAAATCCAGAAGGGTCCACTGTGATCGTCTAGTCCAGGGTTGGGCAATAATTTTTAATGCGGGGGAGGGGGAGAACTCCAAGATTTTGGTAAATGATCAAGGGCCACACTTCTGTGGAGGGAGCATGGGGTCTGGGCTGGTGTAAAAGGGAGCTTGGAATAGAAGACTGAAAGGCAAGAGCGGGTGTGGAGTCTGAGAGGGGGTTTGGGTGAAGGAGGGGATTATAATTTGGGGCACAGGGTCCAGAAGGGGGGGTATGGGTGCGGGAGAGGTGTAGGAGGGGGTGCAGTGTCTGGGAGGGAGTTGTGACATGAGAGAAGGGAAGAAAAGGGGTGCAGAGGGTTGGGTGGTGACTTGGAGCAGAATAGGGTGTAGGGTCTTAAACTTTAAGTGGGTATTCACTTTCTCAGCTATGTAGTTCTTACTTAGGCAGAACTACATGTATGCATAAGGGCTCATCAGCTGGGAAAATTGTTTTCCAGGACAAGCTTTAAAGGAGAACCCTAAACTTGAAATGTAATCAATTTAAATGTTAAAACAATGTAGTTAAAGTAGTTTCTAGTTCTATACCTGCCCTTGAATTCCTCTACCATTTTATTACCATCACATTTTCCTATTTATACCAAAACATTTCACCACCCGTCCTCTGTTGCAGAGTGAACAGTTTTCACAAAGAAACTGGCAAGCAAAGCTTCCAAACCTGCATTTGCCTTTGCACAAGAGGACTGCTGTGTCCATTGTAGAACTAGGGCCTGGTCATACATGTGAAACAGTTTAACTGTATGTAAACAGGTCTCAAATGGACACAGTGATGATTTCTTTTCATTTACAGTAAGCTTAGGTATTGTAGCAATCCTTTCTTAAAATGCTGCAGATTGAAATGTGTTTTTTTAAATTAACCATCTCGCCTAAATTTTGAAATATGCATCCTTTGCATAATAGACACAAAATGTAGCCTATAAAGCAAAAGTTTCAATTAAATCGGATTAAACTATATTTCATAACTAGGGATGTGAATGAGTAGTCGACTAACCGATAAGCCTAGTGACCTGCTCACGTTTTCCCTCCCCATCCTTGATACCGAGGCAGTAAGAGGGTGAAGCAGAAGCTGCAGCTGGGGCTTAAAAGCTGGGTCCCTCCCCCCAGCACCCACTCCATGGTACCAACTGCGCCCCCTCCACACTGCGGCCTCTGTCAGAGGCAGCAGCTCATGAGGAGGGAAGTAGTGGAGGCTGCTGCAAAGCAGCCTCTGTCCGTGGCCAGCCCTCCCCCACCCCCTCTCTCCCTGGCCAGCATCCCCTTCTCTCCAGCAGCCTCTGTCCATGGGGAACTTGGATCCCCTGTGGACAGTGACTGCTGCCACCTGCGCTGCTGCCTCTGAATCAGAGGCAGCAGCCCAGGGGGGCAGGAAGCCAGGCCAAGGGACTGACTCCTCTTGTGGATCGGCTCCTGGCAGGCACCCCGCGCTGCTGCCTCTGATAGAGTAGAATAGTCAACTAATCGATAAGAATTCATGAGGTTAATTGACTATTCAATTAACTGGTATTTAACATCCCTAATTCCTCTTAGAGATTCACAGTGAATTTTTCCAAACTGTTTTAAAATAGATTCTGTTTGCATCTTGATTTGCAGAATTGTCTTTGATATTCCAATTCTGTGACCTACGAAATATCTTTCCTAATGACTTGACATTAAACCTAGAAAGCTTGCATCCTGTTTTCACTTGTTCAGTAGCAAACAGAATCATGCAAAAGAATAACATGAAGGAAGACACATGACCTGTTTTTGAGATGAGGGAGTTGTAGCTGGTTCTGATAGCCTTGTGATCTATTTTAAATATAAAACAAAGCATCGGAAAATTGAAGGGCTTTTCTGCACGCACTTGCATTTTGAACTACTGTGAATAGCAATAGGAACCAAATGCTTCACTGTCACTCCCTTGTGTGGATGCTACTGGGGCAAAGTAAAAGGTTCCTTGTTTGTATTAATGTAATCTAGGGATGTTAAAATCAAGGTTGTTTTAATAATTGAGAAGTCGATAGAATTTTTATTGCCTACTCAATTACTCAAAAGGGGAAGGCAGCCCTGTTCAGTCCCGGCTCGTGCTGGGACAAAACCCTGATGTGGCTCTGCAATTTAAAAGGCAATAGGAACCTGACTCCAACTCCCACTGCATTTTAAATTTCAGAGCCACTGCATGGGTTTGGTCCTTGACTTAGTGCAAGCAGGGACTGAGCCGAGCTGCCTGCCTGCCTGGCTCCTAAATTTAGTGGCTCTGCAATTAAAAATGCACAGCTCCTACTGCCTTTTGAATTGCAGAGCTGCAACGGGGTTTGGTCCTGGTGCAAGCCGGGACTGAGCAGGGCTACCTGCCCAGCCAGTAGCAGCTCCTGTCCATGGTTCCTGGCTGCAGATGGGCTGTTTTGCAACAACAGCCTATCCGTGAATGGTCCCAGCAGGAAGCTGGGACCCTAGGCAGACAGAGATTGCTGCCCATGAAACAGCTCCTGTCTGTGTCCAGGTGCTGTGGCCAGGGGCTGCTTCGCAGGCAGCAGCTCCTGTCTGCGGGGGGTCCCAACTTCCTGCTGGGTGTTCCAGTAGCCAGGGGTGCTTCTGGAGTAGCCTTCCCTGTTCCCCTTACTCCCCTGTGCTGCCTTAGCGGGGGCAGGGAGTGGAGACAGTGCTGGGAACTGGCTTTTAAGACATCTTCCCTCCCAGCAGTGGCTTCTGCTCCACCCCCTTTGCTGCCTCTGATTTAGGCTTAAGTCGACTAATATAAGCTTAAGTCGACTAATCAACTATTCTCTTACATCCCCAGTGTAATCATTTTCAAACAGGAGCCTTTTCATTCACACCTACGTCATCATGAGGGAGTCTTTGGTGTACACTGCTATTTAGGCCACTGTGGTTTGAACTTCTGAGCAATGCAGAAGTGCCCTGAGAATCTATACACAGAATAATAAACTTCACAGGCTTTATTTACAGCGTATAATTGCCAGTGTAATTATAATATATGGTGAAATTTACCCAGCTTATTAAGGGGCACAGAAGTTCCCAGCGCTGTAGAACTGCTATGGTTAAGCTGCATGACTGGCAAGTAGAAGACTGCATGCTCCTTGCATGAATTGGGCTCTGTGACTGTGTTGCAAAGGGCAGTGTGGGTGTGGTGATTTGGTGGCAGGCATCGCTAGTGCATTTGAGATTATACCGATGCTAGTTCAGGTGCTGGAATAATAATGACCTGCAATGTTTAATTTAAATATGCAGATTTTTTAAAACAATATTTGCTTGAACTGAAGCCTTCAACTTCAAAATACAGCTCTAAGACTATTTTTACAGATTTGTTATGAGGTTCCTCAAATACAGATTATACAAAAGCAGTTGACAACCATTAACTACAGCAGTAAACACTACTTTCTACTCTGTGATTGTGCAGTTATGCACACATTATATAGTTATTATAGAGTAGAAAATGTTAAGGGAATACTTTAAAATATGTTTTCTACTCACGTTTATATTGTCATTAGTCACTGATAATTAGCTTCCATGCACCTCCCTAAATTTGAGTAGCCCCATTAACAGATTTGAATGCTATTGATTTATATAATAATTGTTTATAATAAAAGGCCTATGTCATTCATTGGTCTGCTTGATTCATTGGCCTGCAATGATTTTTATATACAAAGATACATCATACAATGATATTTATATATGAAATGTTAACATATATACACCAGTGGCAATAGGTTAAACAGGTAGGAGGGGCAATGTTACACTCTCCGGCTGCACCCATTAATGAGCTGGATCTGCCCCCCTGACTCTGATGGAGTGGTACCTTCCATGCGAATAGTATTCTATGGATTTGATTGCAACCACTTGCCCGATACTAGCAGGGCCTGATGAAGTGGGTCTGGCCCATGAAAGCTCATCATCTAATAAACCATCTTGTTAGTCTTTAAAGTGCTACATAGTCCTGTATTTTGCTTCAGCTACCCCAGACTAACACGGTTACATTTCTATCACTAATTAAGGGCACTTTTAAAAATGTCTCTAAGCTATTTTTGTGTCTTTTCAGTGAACTCTTGCTGTTTTTCCTTAGGAGTTCCTTGTCAAATGCACATTTATTCTGGGCTGTGGGAGGAGCTGCCCCTTTGGTTACTTTGTTTGATTGAGCTGTACTGTAAATTTCAGGCTGGGAATGAGCTGTACAATTGGCTTAAAGGCACATTTATTTTACTTTGATTTTATGTCCTAACTTTTCAGCATGGCAATGCCCCAGGTGTCCTGGTGGCAAAACCACTACTGATGTACACCCACTTCTGTAATTTGTGTTAACAGACATTTTGGGGCCAGGCATTTTTCCAAAGCTCATGAGCTAGTGAGCTGTAATTATAGTAAGATGTATATCATAAATAATTCATACATGTTCTGTATGAACAACATTGGGTTTCTGTCTGTTTTTCTATAACATAGCTGCATAATGATTTGTTTGGATTTTGTCTCAGATGATTGATAGTGCAAAGTGTTGGCAATGATGTGAATTGCTGTCAGGCTGTCTCGAAAATTGCTGTACTAGCGGTGATTTCTTCTCTTTTTTTCTCCATGCTTGTCTAGTCTCGGCAGACACCTGAGGGCGAGTTCCTCCCTCTCGATCAACTTGAACTGGATGTAGGTTTTAGCACAGGGGCAGATCAACTTTTTCTTGTTTCCCCACTTACAATCTGCCATGTGATTGATGCCAAAAGCCCCTTCTATGACCTCTCTCAGCAAAGCATGCAAACTGAACAGTTTGAGATTGTCGTCATCCTAGAGGGCATTGTGGAAACAACTGGTGAGTAAAAAAATCCCAGCAAAACATATGTTTGTATACAGTTCATAATTGTGTTGCTTTTTCCAAAACTGAAATAGAATAAGAGCCTCTGTAAAAATCTATTGTAGTAGAATGTCATTAAGGACTACAAGGTTTCTGTATGCTTCTTTTCATATGAGCTACATATTATTTTATCCATTGTTTTGTAAATTAAAATTTGTTTTATAAATATGGCACCCATCTGCATGTCCACGGTTGGTTAGCTAATAAAATACCAGTAAACGTAGAAATTGATCGAGCAACTCAGAGTACCTATCCTGGGCCTTTTGCAATGTAGAACATAAATGAAAGATGCATGCAGGTCTACTCTCATTGCAGTGTTTACTGAAGAATAGTGTATTTTATGTTTGCTGCAAGGTACATTCATGATTGCATTGGAATTACTAATTAATAGAATCACCAACAGTCTTGTGTGTACTAATAAGCATGATCTCAGTAGAACAATATGTAGAGATAATACATTTAGGAAAATATTTTATATTCTGTTTTTTCAGTTAATATTTTTGTTTTTAAATATTTCTGTACTACTCAAATGTAACGGGGGAATGTTTAAAATAAAGAGAAACCTTTGGAATTAGAGTCTTTCTAAAGGAGAAATATACATAAATAAGGGAGTATATTTTATGAAGAATTTGACACTAACTGTATTTTTAATTGAAACATACAGTTCTAATTCTGATCATTATCAGGAGTAATGAAATTTGAATATTCCTTTGGTTGCAGAAAAACATCATTTGTGGGGGGGATGGAATAATACTATAAGTCCATGAACATGTGTGCAAGAATGGGCAACCTACAGCTCATTGGGGTTCTGTGAGTGGCCCACAAGACGTTTATCATTACCCATGCACAGGGTTACCAGATTCTGTTGGTTTTCGTCCATGTAGTTTTTTTTTCTTGCTGGTATTACTAACATGACACGCATGTAAAGCAAGGGCATGTGAAGTGAGGTACATGCTGAGGGCACACAAGATTGGCACACCTCACAAATTCTAGATATGCAATCACAGTTAGCAAAACTATCGCAGCCTGGCAGACTGTCTTGGTTACAATAATCTTGCGGTCCATTGAGATGGAGGAGGGTCACTCATATGGCCCTCACTGGTCTATGTGCACAGAGGTTGTGGCAGGATAGGAGCCAGAGGCCCTAAGCTCACAGTCCTTAAATAAATTCAGTTCAGCTTCTACTGAAGTCAGTGAGAACAAAATTAGCTCTTTGGTCCTTATTCTATTAAAACTCCTGCTGTTAGTAGTTATTAGTGTTTTGCTGGTGTTAAGATCTTCAGAACTGAGACTCAGAACGTTTTTATGAACAGAACTGTTATGCATATGTTATTTATTAGAGATTGGTAATACTGGGAAAATAATTCTATAAATAATCTCTGGAGTTTTTAAACAAAAATTTTGTGCTTTCACACCCTTTTTTATTCACTTTTTGTAAATATTCTGGCCTTAAAATGGTCTTCATGTTATCAAAAATAAGGTTCTGTAAACCCTAACCCATGAATTTGCAGGACCAGGAGCTAGAGTTATAGAAATAGACAAAATGGGATAAATGAAGTGAAAAATAATATATATGGATAAAGCATGAAAAAAATGAAAGAGCTTAATGTATAATAGACAGAACGTGAACAGAAGATAGAAGAGGGAAACTCAGAGAGCAAGCAACCCTATTCTTGATTTAACTGGTGAGAGATGAAACAGAATTAGACTATTAGAATTTGAGAATGGAGAAGAAACAGTGGCATGCAGCAGGGAAAACAGGCTGTGGGAAAAGGATGGTACTATAAAAGAACTAAAGAAGGAAAAAATAAAAGAGGGAGCTGATTTCATACAACATACATTTGGCATTTGCACTGTGGAGTGATTTTACTGTGAATATGGGCTAGAGAAAAGAAAAATACAAGTGATATTAAAAAACTGAAATAAAAATGCAGTCTAGTTTTTGGTGCCGAATGTATTACTTATAAGGATTTATCACATGTTCCTGGATTGAACAAAAAACTGTTTTTCCACTAGATTAAATGAAAATTGGAAAGTTTCTTTCTTTTATATTTTTAAAGTATTCTTCTCTAGTTTTTTCCTTCCTTTCCTTCCTGCTATCCCATCCCAAAATATACTACAATTTAAAATGAAGACTTGTTTAATATTTATCAACTGCCCTGTCACTTTTTTTTTTTTAGATATACCAGTTCTGATCTTTTCTGCCTTCTCTTAGGCTATGTCTACATTGCGCATTCTTGCACAAGAATATATGCAGATGAGGTGTGGCGATGACTATCACCATGTCTCATTTGCATACCTAATGAGCTGCTATTTTGCATTTTTATGTCTACACTGCTCTTTCTTGCGCAAAAAACCCCTCTTGTGCAAGAGCAGTTCTTACTGAAAATAAGCAGAACGGCTCTTGAGCAAAAATGGCAGCTCATTAGGTATGCAAATGAGATGCAACGATATTCATAGCCACACCTCATTTGCATATCTTCTTGCGCAAGAATGCGCAATGTAGACATAGCTTTAGAGACCTTAGAGGCCTTAGAGATTGTCATCTCCCTGTGAAAAAGTGAGAGTTCCCACTCAGACTGTTTTCTGAGTTTTTTGGGGGGGGA